GAACAAATGGAACGATAATTACCTGCTGCTATTGGTAAAATAAAATTTTAATTCAAAATCAATAATTTTTGTCATAATCAGAATATTCCCTGTAACCTAATACCTTGATGTTGGTGGTTGGCATTCACCCCATCTTTAAGTCCAATACGAGATAATGGATGAAACTTAATCTTAAAACTACAATGTAATTGTATTTATGTATGTTTATGTGTATAATTAACATACTTCAAGTTTTTCTGAAAGTGCATTTATGTATTTTTATCTTTTTTATTCAATTTCCCTATATCATAATCATTTCTATATTAATTTTGTCATAACTATTTGATACAGCACCAAATTTACTGCTGTAACAGTGTTTACTTGTTTACATAATGGTCTGACATCAATAACATACTGTTGTTACAATAACAACAATATTAACAAGTTAATGTTTCTTTTCCAAATATGTATTTCCCATTCTAATTCTATAGTTCTGATTGGTTTCATCTGTCAAAGAAAATAAATTAAGAAATCTCATGCAGACAAATAAAAGGGATAGGAGGAAACATTATGATTTACAATGTGAAAAGTATTAATACATCACAGTACAATATAATCTACACTGCATATACTTCAAACTGAGTGCCAATGTAAGGATTCTCCGGAAATAGGGTGTGTCTCAGACACTGTGTCTACTCAAATTGTCATGAAGTTGTCTTAAAAAAAAACAAGAGGGCCATGATAGTCTATAATCGCTTACCTGAGTCTACTTGCTCAAGTTTATTTAAACATATATAGATTCTATGGGAAAAAAAAAGATAAATTTCAAGACAGTGACTTATTGAGTGGAATTTAAATGTTTTTGCATCAACTTGACTATGTGACCTAGTTTTGAGCCAATTTAGTTACCAAAATTTAATTTTGCCAAAACTATAAATGAAACACAAATTTGGAGAATTTGATGAACATAAAATATTAAAACTTAAAGAAACTGTGAACAGGACATTCTTTAGTTTGACCATAATAACCTACTTTTTTTACTCCCAATGACCCAAACCTGACCTTAAATATAAATAAACATTCTATCAAAGTTAAAAGAAGATAAAATCAAAATTATAACCTCGGGAGTTACATTAGCAATGAATTTTCCTTCATTTGACCTAATAATCTATAGTTTTTTACCCAAGGTAAACTGTGACCTCAAGGGAGTTAACAATGTTTTCTTTGATTTGACTATTAGTGACTTGAGTTTTCTACCTTATGTACCTATATATATAAAAAAATTCAAATTATTAAATATATTACTAATATAAGCTGACAGAGTTTGAAATTGATGCCAGAGGACACCGGGCACCAGATCATTGACCCATCTAAAAAACTTATGAATATTAAAGCCATAATATAATATATGCATCTAAAGTGAATTGTTCTATAATGATAGGTCTTTAATACAATGAATAATAACATTAATAGTAATTTTAGAGTATTAGACATAACAATAAACCATGAAACAGTTATGCATGGAAGTTGTTGAATGATCCAAAAGAATAAAGTGCTATAGTCATCAGATAAGTGGTCATTCTAAATCACTTAGAACTTTATCAACATTTTTTTTGAAGCATTTTATAGGAATATCCATAGTTTTTATCAATATTTGAAATACTAATGGAAAATGTGCCTATTGTAAACCTTATCCACCTTAATTCCACCTGGATAAATGGGTACAAAAGAACTCCTAAAAACCAAAAAGAATAATATGGACAGAAGTAACTGGAAATTTTCTTTATTTTTCAGCTCCTGCATATTGAGGCAAATCACTTGGAAGATTTTCTTGCAACTTTTTCAACAAGGTAAAGTCAGGTATGAAATTTAAGCCACATGTTTGAACATATTCCTTAAAATTTGGGATAGTACATTTAATTGATTTCTCTGCTTTACAGTCCTGAATACCTTTTAATCTTGCAGAGCTTTCAAATTAAGACTAAAGTTCGAAAAACAATTCTGATTGAAAAATATTGATCTATTCTATTCTATACAAGCAGAGGGAAGTTAACATAATATCATTCCATATAAAGATAGAAAATTGAGAAGAATGTGGGCAGTTCCAAAGACCTAAAAATAAATTTGCCGCAGTAGTAAATCCATCTTTGTCACCGAACCTTCAGCATCATTGATTGGCCTATAACTGATCACTGTCATCAACTTTTAATTGAATTCTGCCATTTATCTGGTATTTTCGCATTATGTGAGATCAATACACCACTTGCAGACGCAGGAAGCCAGGGAGTGTAAATCTCTAAACGAAATCTCAACAAGAAATCTCTCTCCACTATTGGGAATTCACTTAATTTCGTGGGCATGAAATTTCGTGGTTAAATTGTTATAAACAAAGAACATTTTTATGGGTTTTTAAATTCATGGACTGTCTTTTTTTCCAGGTAAAATGTAAATTAATAATGTGATGCAAAATAATCTTATAGCAGATGAAATGAAATTAATTGCATCTTAAATTTGTGGATTGACCCACGAAAATTAGTCCCCCACAAATAATGATGATTTTGCAGTATATGACTGAGCAAAATGCTAATGCTGTCAATGATGAATCTACCCCTCACACTGATGTTATATAAATTACCATACTGAAGACAAGAGAGATTTAAGTCTCAGGCAGAGAAAACAAATGAATGGAAGGTTTTCCCACAGATTGTCAATGAACATCTTCTGAATTTTACAGTTATCATATGAAACAATTCTGTGTGATTTTCCATATGCAAGTGTATAAATAACATTCTAACATTTACTCAGATGCTCCTGTGTAATGAGTTGGCACTCTTAAATTTGAAACTGTCTATGGACATAAGAAAGTACAGGATTTAAATATAAAGAACATACATCAAGTAACCAGTCTCCAGATGGACATACACTGAGGCTGGCTAAAATAAACCAGTCATAGGTATATCTATATGTAATACAAATACAGTCATTATTGCTATTAGCAATCAAAGTCAGGACAGAGAAGATTTCTTTTTTTTATATATTTTACTGCTGAATTTATGACTTCTTCTCATTTTCAGATAATAAAGATTGTAAATTAGTTTTGCTACTTTTCAACACTCAAAAAGCAGTTAATATTTTACTGCATAATTTATTAAAATGGCTGACATTTTGATGCATCAATCTGGCATGGTATATGCATAGGAACTCTGGAACAGGACCGCATATTGCGGCGCATAAGTCCGAATCCGTACGGGCTTTACATATTGTTTGTCCGACCTTTGAATATCTTTTCATATTATGCGAGCGGGTGGTCTTTAATTATCTAATCTCAATTTAATATAATCTGCTAATTTAAAAATCAGTCAAATTTACGGTATATTGAAAAAAGAAAAGGAGTGACATCCGCCATTTACCGCAACGTTCGGCGTAAGTTATCCCCCTTGATATGCTTGATTTTTTTTTTTTATTTTTTAAGTAATGAATACCAGATGAGTGCCTAAAATATTTATCTATGGATCATTTTTTAATATTCCTTTTTTCAGTTAGGCAAAATCAGTTGGACCATATTACTAAAGTGTCTGTTTTCTCCATGTTAACAAATCAAAACACGAATACGCCCGTTATAATGCCGCCTTTACATGTCAACACGTGTAAACAATAAACCGTTAACGTTATATCCGGACGATACCTGATAGTTGACAAAAATAACGGGAACAAAATTCTGAAAAAAATAGTAATCAATTGTAGCCAAAGGGGAAAAACTCATGCCGAAAACGTTGCGGCAAATGGCGGATGTCACTCCTTGTCTTTTTTATAATACCGTAAAATTTGACCAGTTTTAAAAGAGACAGATTGGGTTCAATTGATAACATATTTTTTGAGTCCATACACTCGGATAATACTAAAAGATATTTAGATGTAGCAGAAACGTTTTTAAAAACTGTTACACGATTGAAAATATGCGCCGCAATCTGCGGTCCCGTTCTCGAGTTCCTATGGGTATATGAGAGAATATAATACTGCACATGTAAATTTACATCATATTTTAATTTTTGAATACAAGTGGAAGCAATAAAGGCCACTCCACTGTGCAAACTGTACAGAGCACAACCTTGCAGTCCAAACAGACTTTAGGCTATTGTTTGAAAATACAGCAGACTTAGAAATATAAACAAGAGGCCAATGATGACCCTTAATTGTTCACCTGAGTAGTAGTCCTTTAACATAAGACGTTTCCGTTCGTACTACATACACTCCAACGTCTCATCGACTTCTTCATAAGTTCCTTTAGCAAAACCCGCCCACATGTATACAGGTAAAATGGCCGAATGTATATAGCGGTGAAAGTGGTATAAATTGTATTGGATTGGATTTATTTCGTTCGAAGGTGAGTCATTTATTTCTTTTGCTGCACATTAATGCAAAAATGTTTAAATTTACTGTCTGCATATCTTTCGACTCAAAATATTGTTTTTGTAGTAAATTACGACGGTTTATATAGCGCTTCAAAATCGCTGCGCGTTTTGCTAAAGGAACTTATGAAGAAGTCGATAAGACGTTGGAGTGTACATAGTACTAACAGAAATGTCTTAATATGTTATAGGACTAACCTGAGTAGATGGTTCAAATGAAGAAGATTGCATTACTTTGACAATTTGACAAACTTCAGTGTGCAGGGGTTGCCTCACGGTGCATTAGAAGAATAAATTTGTTGAATTGATACCTCTCATATTAATATTATGTAATGGACTGTACACAAAGTATATTCATACTGAACAAAACCAACAAAGCTTGACTGGCTAATTGTTTTAGCTGAAATCTAAACAAGACTAAACCAAGAAGTTACAGTGCTGAAACAACTTCTAAATTTTGATATTTTTTTTCCACCATGATAATATGACAAAATATACGAATACATTTATCCTTTTTATATATTAAATCATGCTGCATCTATACACTGGTTCCCATTCTCATGATGGATAACTTTGGAACAAAGAATAACAATAAAACAGAAATCTCCCTACCTCTTGTATTAGTCTAGCTTCCTCACTTGCTGCTTTCAACTTCTGCTCCAGTGACGACCAGTCCATATCTGGTAATGTTGTTTCTATATTATACACATCAAATGCACTTTCTGTTTCAACAGCATCTTTCTTCCCTGAGTTACTTCCCTTAACATCACTTTTTTGTATTTCTATAGTATGACAAGAATTATCTCCCTTAGTATCACAGCTAGAATTGTTTTCACTGAAATTCACTCCTTTATTATCACAGATGCTTTGAGAATTAGAATTACCATATTTATCACAATTTGATGAGTTATCTGCACCTGATTTTGTATTTTGAACAGGGTGGCTCCCCTTTTCAGTTTTGTTAACAATCTCAACACAATTATCTCCCTTCACATTTGTTTCACTATAATCCTTCATGGATTCTTTTAATTCCTTTTTACCAGAGTCAGCAGGGGATGTTACTCCATTTTGATCACTATTAACTGATGGAGGCATATTTGTAGACATATTACTTCCCTTTGTGGCTTCAGGTAGAGGTTCTGAACTTTCACCTTCAGCAAGGTGAAGGTGAAGGTCAAATGGAAGGACTTTGGAGTCCAACTTTTTCAGTTCAGCAAATTCATGTGCCTTTGATAATAAACTGTGCTTTCTTTGTTGTTTTGGTGACAGTTCATGGATATTCAAACTTTCTTCATTATTTTTTGAGGTACTAGATTTAAAGAAATTGTTGATCAATGGTGACTTATTTGTACTATTTATAGATGAATTTTCATTTTCTGTCAAAGGATTAAACATAAAAGATCCACTGCTTTCTGTTTCTATGCCTTGTTCTTCGTCCTCACCAGCAGAATTACCAAATGGATTTGACCTATTTACTTTGACCCTGTCTGACCTTAAATCATCTTGATGATCACCATGGTAACGTGGTTCTCTTCTAGATCTTTCAGAAGCTGGTTTTTCTAAATAAGATCTCCAGGCCCTCTGAATTCTGAAGTTTAAACAGAAACAAAATACTATAGAATGTCTATGCCTATATAAAGTTTTAAACTATGGAAATTCTATAAATTCTTTTAGCTTCATAATACTTATTGAAACTATTCAATACATCAAAATTAGAAAAACAAATTTAATATTCACAATGATTTACAGTGCAAATTGTTGGAACTACAAGCCCTTCAAATAAGATTTAATCTAATTATAAAGCTAATTTCATTCAAATTTTGGAATTTAACATTCAGCTTAATAATAATTATTATGTGTGTTACAAGTTTTAAATCATTTCAATATACCATGTATGTAATCACAAGTAGCTGACCTTGAAGATCTGCTAAACAAAAGCAGCTTGTTGGCATTTTTACACATGACTTTGAAATATAATAAGCATACAATGCTGGAGTTCACTCTGAGGAAGGATGAAAAGGTCAGTGATTCATACAGAGCAAAAATTACTGAATTTCTGACAGTGTGTTTAAATTGGAACCATAAATGTTTTGAATTCAAACATTTTAATTGCAGAATTTATCATTAAGAAAACATTTAGATATAATTTTACACACTGTAATTGAACCAGAGAAATTAAATTATCTTCAAATGCATCTTTATGCCAATCAAGAGTAAAATTTGGCAATGATTTTCTTGAAATAGGCAAACATTGCTTAGTTCAAGCACTAAAACTGGCAGTTTTCTTTTGAAAAAAAAAGGAAATATTGATCAAGAATCCAGAAATAGCTATTATCTAAACAAATTAACATCAAATCACTTAGTAATGCAGTCTAATACAAAACATATAAAAGTATATCTATATTGCCATGAAATTAGTCTCTCTTTAAAGGGACTTAACTCTAATGATTCAACAATCAAGACATTGTAAGAGTTATCATGTCTCTTATATAAATAACAGCATCCGAATACTGTCAATTTTTGCTATAAACATAAAGATGCTTGCCAAAGAATAAAATTTAAATTCACATGTCATGATTTATATACTCTGTTATGTAATACACCAGCATAATTAAATTAAGGTGTTCTTCAGTGAATAAAATATACATACATACTTTAAGCAATGCACTAGAATAGTTTATTTCAACATTTTATTACACAATACACCATTAAATATTAATTCTAGAATCATTTAGCACAAATCTAGAGCAATATGCTCATTTCAAATTGCAACTTATTTTCTACATTTGGAAAAAAGATGACATGTTACATGTGAAGACAATATACATGTATGCATCAACATCTTATATTATCTTAGAAATTTAACAAGATATCTCATTACATAAAAGCCATTAATACATTTAAGGCATTGTATAAAGTTCTGTATTTGGGTATAAAGACATAATACAGCTTTTGACTAATACAATGATTCCATTTTACAAGAAAATCATGTATAATAGAGAACCTCAAAGGATTCTTATCTAATTATGTAACTTTTTTTAAAGAAAAAAAAAGTTATAAGCAAGAAAGATTTATCATTTTGTAAACATCGAAACATCCACTGGGATGGGGTGGGATCCTGACTAATTTTTCTGATGGGTCCCAGTGGGACCCCAATTGAAATCCCACTAGGATCCCACTTTCATCCCACTGGGATTCCCAGTCAATTTTCAGTAGGGTCCCTGGTTGAATCCATTTAAGCTAGTTGTGACAATGACAAGAATAAGGCTGCATCAGGGTCTCAGTTTCATCATATTGATTTTGAAAAGAATTCCTCACATGAATTGTTTCAAATTGAAGGTGCAACAAGTCTAATAAAATTTTAATATGGTATGGATCAATACCCTGAGTCATCATGAGAGAGAAAGTTTTCCAGAAAAATTCCCAAAGATCTTTACACAATGTGTTTAAAAAACAGTCTGTACTAAATCCTACAAATATGTGAATACTATTAGGTGAACACAATGTTTGAATTGAATGACTACAATACTTTATCCTACAAATTGTGAGCATAATGTCCTGCCAACTTTATTCTATGTAATGCCAACTTTATTCTTTAACATGAACACAATGTAACAAAAACTTTATCCTACAACATGAGCACAATATAATAATTACATAATCCTACCAAATGAACACACAATGTATTAATTACTTTATCCTACAACATGAGCACAATGTATTAATTACTTTAACCTACAACGTGAACACAATGTATTAATTACTTTATCCTACAACATGAACACAATGTATTGATTACTTTATCCTACAACATGAGCACAATGTATTAATTACTTTATCCTACAACATGAGCACAATGTATTGATTACTTTATCCTACAACATGAGCACAATGTATTGATTACTTTATCCTACAACATGAGCACAATGTATTGATTACTTTATCCTACAACATGAGCACAATGTATTGATTACTTTATCCTACAACATGAGCACAATGTATTAATTACTTTATCCTACAACATGAGCACAATGTATTGATTACTTTATCCTACAACATGAGCACAATGTATTAATTACTTTATCCTACAACATGAGCACAATGTATTAATTACTTTATCCTACAACATGAGCACAATGTATTGATTACTTTATCCTACAACATGAGCACAATGTATTGGTTACTTTATCCTACAACATGAGCACAATGTATTGATTACTTTATCCTACAACATGAGCACAATGTAATAAAAACTTTACTACATTTTATATTTACAGCTCTTAAAATCCTCACCAAATGCAATGTGAAAACAATGAAATAACAATTTACTCAGTAACAATCCCACAATGTGCTTTAGGCTACTGTAATCTAGAAACAATAACTTCCAGAAGAAAATAATATTCTCTGAGTTTCTCAGCTCAGCTTATGGCCAATTAATTTTCATTTATCTACTTCCGCCTGACAAGTAACAATAATAATAATTAACCTCCCAGGCTATGGCCATGTCTAAAACATAAATAGTCTTGTAACTTTATACAAACAATAATAGCTGTCTGTGCTAGGCTAGGTAATATATTGTTTCTGAATATCAGGAGATAACATTTCTACATTTATAGTCTTATTACTAACATTTATTACTACTGCATTTCCATTGCAGCCACACTTTTTTCTTAAATTTCACCCTGCCAATTTGTGTAATAAAGTAAGAAGTTCATCATTAAATGAAGAGTAGAAAACCTGCATATAGTTCAACAGTGTTAAATAAGCATGGCCATGATCTATACTGATAGTATATACATGTGACTGCTTTGTCTACATCTTAATTAAGGCTTGAATTCTTATTTAAAGACCCATAATGTAAAGAAATGTTTCCATTTTTATGTCTCAAAAGTATTTAATCTTTGCCATACTTTAATCATCAGTTTCCAAAAAGCTTAACTCATTGTCCAATTAGCTGAACCAACTTTTTCTTCTGTTGCTTTTTGGCAATTAGTACAGATAATAAGTCAGATATAGTGATTTAATATTCAGCGATAAAGTCAAAGTACTTTTTTGTTTACATTCTGCCCTTTCTGTTTAGAAGTAAAAATTTCTTCAATTCAGAGGCATTATGTGCCTTTAAGGAATTAATTTATTTTCAAATTATTTTAATCAAAACAATACAAAATGAATATGCACAATTCCTCTAAATCAAACAAACAACAATTTAGAAATGGCCTTCTGTGGTGAACAAATTAGACCTTATTATTATGATAACGTATGTTATAATATAAACTATGTGTCAGTAAACTGTACAGAAACATGTACAGGTGTGTACAGAAACATGTACAGGTGTCTTCTCTCCCTGTCATACATTATAAATATATACATACTACATAAACAGACCAACAACAGTGCAACAACTGACTACCCCCACCTTTTCTAATTTACATACATACACTTTTAACCTATTAATTTATTAGTCAGACAAGTTTTTTGCAATGCCATTATCATTAAGGTTGTACATACATTCTAGCATTAACGGTAAAGGCAAACTCAGCAAGGTGTCCCTCCACATTATCACAGTTTTAGACCCATGCAAGCTAATTAAAGCTAAGCTGGACTGCTAACTTTATCATATTTTATTAAGGAAAAAAATAGGGCACTTTCAGGGCTCAAAGTCTTGAGTTCTGCACTTGTATTTTAGGAATGGAGAATTTGAAATAAGAAACCATGCAAATATGCTTATCCAAAACTTTAATTTTCATGGTTAAACACACAGTGCTGCATTCAGAAGAAGTTGAAAGTTTTCAGTGGAGAATAAGTAGAAACAGTATCAGTTGTCTTAATTAATATGAATCATTTCAACTATTTTAAAAACACTGATTCCGCCAGTCTACACAAATAAATCATATTGAAAATTTATTGAAATGTGTAGCAGAAGTATAAGAGAAGAAATACCTAAAGTAAGATGAAGAAATATTTAAACAACAATGAAATAGGTTGAAAATCAAAGGATACCTACCTGCAGTATAAAGGTTTATCCTTTCTTATACAATTTATATTCAAAATGATTCACCTTTATTACATATTTAAATCCACTACCACAAAGTTTAATGGCCAATTAAAGACCAGTGGCAAAACATGTTTATATTATATTACAGATGTACTTTCTTTATTATTCAGCTTTCAAAATTAAATCTTATATTCATCCAACAAATCTAAAATCTTTTTTAAAACAAACTCTTAATATTCAAAATTTATTTAAAGGTGAAAATGTATACAATTTCCTGTTGCTGAAACTACCGTACATATTCTGATAAACACATCCATATTTCACGTTTAGAACAATTTTGCATTTTCCTAACCAAAATTTTTGCAATGAGTTTGCCTGTTTTTGAATTTGGGACAGTTCATTTAAAGTTTAAGGACGATTTCAGTATCAAAATATAAAAATTAAGCTACCTGAACAGCATGGAGCCTCAAGTCAATATGCACAGACTGACCTAGCTCTGCAAATGCTCATATATACCACTAATGCTTCTAGCAGATTAATTAAAAGCTAAATTAATTGCACATCATAGGCATATCAACATGGATAAAAGATTC